TTTTTCTACAAAAAGAGCCCTGAATTGTTGACAGTGCCCCGCCCACGCCAGCAGGGCTGGCTTTAAGCCTTGATGATACAGCCACAGCCACGGAAGCCTTCCCCCTTTCTGAAGCTGCGTGGGCACCAAATCACCCAACCCCCTCAGCCCTGAGATATTCCAGCCGGAAGTTGAAGGACACTGACCTGAGACACTTCCTTGGAGGATCAGTGCATTTCCTGCTTGGCAGGAAGCCTCCGACGTCAGAGAGAGGCAGCTATGAGCATTCCAAAACCAGCATCGATATTTTTATTTATAGTCATATAGATAAGGTCATCTTCCTCTCCCCCCCACCGTCAGCATTTAGTTGTGGCACTGCCCGGCAACACCACATCTTCCGCATAGCGACAGGACCCGCCTTCGCGTAGAATACACTGCTTCATTCAAGCCGGCTCCTTCCAGTCCACGGGGAGAGTCTAGCTCTCTGGGAAAATGTAGCTGAACTGGTTCAGGATTTGTTCCACAACTTGATTCTGGAACACCATATGCATGGTCATGTTCCCTTCTTCGGCCTCTGGCTTCAGCAGCGTGGGCCCAAATACGATGGCAACGCTCTGTGCCGACATGCGGTTCTCCTTCCGGAACTCAATAACCCTGGGGAAAGAACAGAAGGACTCAGAAGCCCTGCAAGGGGACGGGGTCTCATCTGGTTGTGTCTCGTGGTCACTGCCTGGCGAGTGTTAGACAGGTGCCAACTTGCACCAGTTAAAAACCCAAACCGCTTATCTGCCGCTCGCCTTCCCACCCGGCCACCTGACACTGGAGCTGCCACAGGGTTACCACCCCCCAGGTGGGGCCTGGAGAACATACAAAGGGGATAATAGGGGGAACCCTCACTCGGGGGCCGGGGTGCTGACTGCAGGGTCCACGCCAGGCAGCTGCTCACCTGCAGAGATGCTGGAAAAGGGCCTTCATGGTGTCACGGTTAGCAGCAGGGAGAGAATGCACCAGCTCCCTTAAATGGAAGCTTCGCTTGGCCGGCTCTGGGATTTCTGCAAACACCCAGAAAGGAAAATTCTCATTCGTCTGTTCTTGCCAACACATGATTATCTGCCCCCATGCTTTAATTTCTGGAATGGAACGACTGCATCCTGATATCTTAGCAGCGGCTGAGTCCTCTTTGGTCATGGTAACGTCTCGTAAGAGAAATGTCTGACTGTCAATGCGCCCTAACCCTCTGGGGCAGCCAAGTAGGAGACGTGGATGTGGAGAAATGCATGAGGCCGCATCCGGCAGTCTCCCAACAAGATGCTAGAAAAAGGGGATAGAGATGTGCAAAGCAAACACACGTCCGCTCAGGGCCGGCCCCAGCATATTTTGCACCCTAGGCGAGGATCCCTTCTGGCGCCCCCCCAGTCAGATGGCAAGAACAAACACAATATTGCTGAACAATTTCATAATATAATATATAAGACAATACAAATGCTGTTATAATTATTATTTTGTTTCCACAGATGGATACATCAAGAGACTAAAGTCTCAATGCAGGCAGGACGAACCTTCCCAGGCTTGACTGTCCGTTTCGACCTTTTGTCTTTATCAAACGTCCTATGAAAAATAAAACAGTTTGGCGGGGAGGGGGTGCAGTTTGGCGCCCCTAAGGGCCGGGGTGCTCTAGGCGAATGCCTAGTTCGCCTACTGTGCGAGCCGGCCCTGCGTCCGCTACAAGACCGTGCTGGTGCCTCAGACGCACAGTGTCTCCAGTCCGGGCAAATGCTATATCTATAGACCAGTAGAGGTCGTCTAGGCAGAAGTGAAACAGAGATGAGGCTAGATAATTCTGTGGGGCCCCAACTCGCTGATTCCTAAACAGGACGCTGAAGGGCCTCCCCCACACACCATAAATACTGGTAGCAGTAGGCTCCACAGAACGGAAAACACAATTCCTGGCTTTCTGCAAACTATGCAAAAATGAAAAGGGCTTTTTCACACACATAATAGGACTGTAGTGTAATGAAATGCTTCAGGAAGATGCTTTGGTAAAGGGACAGAGACAAATGGACTATAGTACTTAGGGTAGCCAGGTGTACTTATCTGGCTGGCAGGGGGTGGGAGGAGGCCTTCTGGGAATGGGGAGGGTGGGGCAACATCGTCCGCACAATGATGTCACATGGAAGTGACGTCATTACGCGGGACACGTCGCATAGTGACACTCTAGCATATTGGTCAAGACTATGGTTACCACAGAGTTTTGTCCAAAATGCTAGAGCGTCGCTGTGCGACATCATCGCACCGATGACATCAACGTGGGAGGGGCTGTTCAGGGGTGGGGCTTCCCCTGCTGGCCAGCTGCCCCGGGGTAAACCCTGCCCCAACCGGGGGGTCTGGCAACCCTAATAGTACTGTGTACTGTCTGTTGCTGTAAGTCTGCTCCTAGTATGTCATTTCTGCATTGTTTAATGTGTCATATTTAAATGCTTATGCATTGTTTCAGCATTATTTCAGCTCTGTTTCAGGGCATTTCTGCATGTTTCTTTCCTCATTGGTTTATCCTGATTTCTGCACACAGTTTTGTGTCTTGAGTTTACACTTTGGTCCCTGCCCAGGTTTTTTCCTCTGGTTCTTTTGAGACCACTTTTACCCTAACATTTTTCTAGAAACGGATTCTGAATTGTCTTTTTCCTCATGCATCAGGTGTCTGTCTGTTTTCTTTGCCCCGCCCACTTCCACCCACCTCCACCCCACTTTTTGAGGACCAGACTCTCTCCCCTCCCCCTGGCCATGAAGACAAACAGTTTCAGCGTTGTTGTTTTTTAACACAACCCTAAAATATCAATATTATGGACGAAGTCATGTTGTAATGATCATTTAAGCAGGTTCTCTGAATTCCCGGCTTTCATTAAAGTCGCGTGTGTGGAAAAGGTCTTAGACTTCTACAGTTCAGACCCTGCTATTTGACGTCTTATTCGGTTGACTGCACTGTCTCACACTGTGCAACCCACCTTGAGTCCAGTGAGAAAAGTGCACTATAAATAACACATGAAATAATAGAAAATAAAACAAATAATTTTACATTCTGCGTTTCTTTTTAACTCAACAGTTCAGACCCTGCTATTTGACGTCTTATTCGGTTGACTGCACTGTCTCACACTGTGCAACCCAACCCACTGTCTCACACTGTCCAACTCACCAATGAGAAAGGTGCACTATAAATAACACACATAAAATAATAGAAAATAAAACAAATAATTCTACACTCTGTGTTTCTTTTTAACT